GAACTCAGAACCTTCGATCTCGCGCGCGAACGCTTGACCTCTAGAACACTGAGCCAGCATCCAACGGTGTTAATGTCTAACTTCGATCGATCCATGAATGACTGCGCAACCATTCATCTATTGTGTGTGGTAGATAACTTTTCATTGGATATGAACTTGAACTCCACTGATCATGACTTCTCACTAGAACTCTAAGAAGTTCATCATGAATCTAGTCACTAGTGAGCACATGATGTTTATTATCAGAATGGGGGTTTGTGAAGATCGTAGTAATTTTGGTAATTATTTTTTTACCCAGTTTTTAAACTGTTATGGGTTCACTCTACAAATTCACACTCTCATCATTTCATTATATTATTAGAATTTAATTCCGATAGAATTGTAAACCAGTAAAAATAGCCAGCTATCAGCTTAGTAACAATAGTCAGTCTACAGCGAAATTGTAATAATTATCATAATAAATTCTTATAATAATTATGCATGTTAGAAACAAGTATACATTAACAAAATTCATTCAATAGCACATGATAAATATGTTCAATCATACTAGGTCAGTTCATCAAACTATAGATGAATTTCAGCTTTCCATTGTGTTTTATATAAACATCAAATGGATGAACAATGGTTTTATTATTTTTATTATTAATGATATTGACAGTAGTCAGTGTCCTTTAATAAAAAATAAGTTACTCGTTTTTATTTTAAACGTGCATGTTTTTAAAATGGTCGCCAAAAATGCAGTAACGGATGATAGTAAGTATCATGACATTGTTATTTCTGTCTATTGAGTTTTATCGATCACAAGAGCCTCGTTTACCCAATAATATGATAACAGAATGCAATCTCTTCAGCTTAAAATATTTTAATTAACAAACAAACAACACTCTACGTAGACTGGTATAACAGAGCCCCTGTCAACTAGGTTAGAAGGCCACTTGGTTCATTAGGAGAAAGCGAAATTATCATGACGCTAATGTCACTTCAGAGCAAAACAATTATTGGTAAATGAATGAGGATCACGTCCTCAAATTATTACACTAATGTGGAGTTGGATTTAGTGTCTCAAAGTTTAATATCCTGCTGAAACGCTTGGATCATCCTGACATGACAGAGTCGTCGATAGAAATCGTCTATAGTTTGTAGTAACATCACGTTTCTACCCTAACGAGATATCATGTCGACCCTCATTCACCAAATTATAGTCATCGCTCTGGTGTTACGCCGGACCTAATGGGCCTTCCCAAACTAAGGCATCAAAATGAATAGGTAAGCTTTTGTCAGCCACGTTTCGACTTCAGAAAGTTCTCAACCCTCAGCAACGGAGAGTTAGTCTTAGATAGTGAGCAAATATATGTTATATGTACATGTGAAATATACAGGTCAAAGATCCGTGTACTTTATTGTACATATGTCAGCATGAATGCTGTTTCTATTGCAACCGCTCCAGAATGAACCCTCAACACAATAGCCTTATTGCATTATCTAATGTGCTCTTATTTAATTCAACTGTACTACAGAGTAATAGATTAACTCATTCTCTACCGTCCACATATATTGATTCAGCCATGCTATCTCTTAGGCATCATGCAGTGGTCTGGGTCGGATGTTGCCTACGATTTAGATGAGTTAATTTTTTATCTATATTAAAAGGGATTATTTATTTTGATATTCAAACCAAGTGTTATTAAGTCTCATTGAGATCTACGAGATATGACATACTTATTTAAGGGTTAGGTTAGACACGTAAAGATTGGAAAACGATTTCCTCAATATTTCCCATCCCATCTTCATTGTGTTTGGTAGGATGCCCTTTTATCACATTTTAGATGCTAGTTGCAGGTGCAACGGAAGGTGAGCTCTACATCCTATCATCACTGACTGGAAAATATAGTTCAGGGTATCAATAAGCATCAATAACGCCTTACGACGACAACTACTAATAGTAATAATAAATATCATTATAATTACAAATGTGTTTCGGTTTCTGATTACAAAATTAGAATAATTAATTTCTGTGTTTTGCAGAGAACTTGGATAAAATCAATACTGGCATCAGTACGTCAATTGTTTTGCAACAATTCTTTAGGACGAATAAAAGTTATTATTCTTGCAGTGTCCGTATATATCTCTATACACAGAAGTGACAATTCAACGTTTATTTGAGTATTTCAGTAAATGTGAGTGTGTACATTTCTTGTGGTGAAAAATGTAATAGGTCATTCCATTTATTTCACTGAAATAAACTTCCTTTAGTGATAAATCCATGTTCCTTTTTAAATAATCGGCTGGTTGTTAAAGAACGTCATGAATAACAAATTACTAAACACTATTTGAATTAGGAATGACCATATATATGTCATTTTATTAAAAAGCTTTGTTGAATGAAAGCTTCATTTAATTAGTACTCCATGATAAGTGCAAGACATTTTGACTCAAATTTAAACAGCAAATGAAGATAAATAAGAGAAAAGCTTCAAACGGAACTAGGAACTGGTAGAAACCTAAATATGACTGTCAAGGTGTTTTTCATTAATCCTAATAATATAAATAATGAGGGACTCTTCATCAGCATTAATTTTAAGTTAGACACCAAAACGTGTACCAGTTATTTCTTTATTCTAGATTTTAGGTAGAAGGGCTATACCAATCAAACAACTCAAATCAGTAGATATTATTCCCGTGTTAAGTGAAGTACTTTTCTATCTAGCACTTCGCAATCTGAATCCCACATTATTGAGGTGATTGTGTTTTGTTATGAGTGATAGAAACTTAGAAAGAGTCACTGGTGAGGTATTTTGTGTATCTCATCATTCGTGACCTTAAAATTAACACCCAGTCCGAGAGTTCTTAGTTGAGCCTACCCATTAACCTACACAGTATCAAACTCAATATCTTGTTCCGATCGACACAATACCATTCAGTTAGTGAGCCTAAATTCAACGGTACACAAATTCAGTCAGTTGAATTTATGGTATGGTCCTAATCCAATCTCATCGATTAGCTGGCGCTTGATTCACTTCTTGGTCTACTCAATGCTTTAAAAAACAAGCTGAGTTAAATGCAACTGCACGCACGTTAGCTACTGGCTTTGATATCAATCCTAGAAGTCTAACAGAATACCATAACCTGAAGAGTGACTCGACTTGAAGGCCATAAAGGGACTCCTTAGTGACTTGGGATGAAGATCACACTGAAGTCAACTGATTGAACTTGAAAACGTATACCACTAAATTCCAACTCAAAAGGTAAATGCATTGCGCCTTCTTGAATATCCTGAGTTTAAAGAGTTGCCTTAATAATACTGTGATCTAAACATAATATTCTGACTTATCACACCGTTAATGAAAAACTCCTCTTGCCCTCCAATGCAACCTTGAAACCAATCATCCCGTAATACTAATTATGTGAAAAAAGATATCATTGCTTTAGGATGAATATAGGACCCTTAAGTTGTGGATTAATAAACATCCTAACAACAATTAGCTCTAGTTATCGCGCGATCACTAGTTTGTATCTTATTTCGGACATAGTGGTTGTTGCGGGAAAATCGTCTAAGAATTTGGAAGCTAACTGAATCTAAGTTTGAAATTGTGAGACATTTCAGATACAGTTGGATTTAATTTCAGAAATTGTTTAATTTTTATTTTGAAACCTTTTGTTTACATAGGATTTTACCTGTATGTAGTAAAGAGTATTTTTTTGTGGTCAAACCTCCCTGTTATATAATGTAGTTGTTTGAATGAATGAAACTGAGTTGACAATCTGTGTAGTCATGTATATTTTCTCTTGGAGTACATTTCGAATGTCTACTAGATTAAGAAAAATATCTGCAATACTATTTATTGGCCAGCACTGACCGAATTTAACGAGACATCTGTATGTGGCTCATTAAATCAAAAATGAATGATTAACAGACAGCCGAAATAATGTTAGAACAGTGTTATCATTAAAATGAGCGTTACTGTTCTGAAACTTATGTAATATAGGAAACTTAACAAATGAAAATTTTATTTTGCGTTCCATCTGCTATGTTTATCGTCAAAAAAGTGCAATTATAGAAAGCTTACATGCTTCAGTTTCCGAATTGTTTAAGATGTATCATTTTATTTACAGGTATAATATGACTTTTATGACGCAATTATTTTACGGACTAGACCTTTGGTTACCAGTAATTACGATTTATTTGACGGTATAGGCTATCTGGATCTTGTTAATGACGTATGTGACGTGAATTTCATAACATATAAGAAACCATATGATAATGAAAATTACGACTATGAAGTATACAGTCAACATTTTATACGAAAATGAATAAAATTGTACAATACGACTTATCAATAAACACCTGATGATATTTGGATACTTATGATTTAACAAATATCGTGACAAAATTAGTCCGAAAACATACTGGTTTAACACCATGTAAGATCAAGGATGTATAATATTGATAAGTGTCGAACGAGCACAAAACAACTGTCCATTGTTCCCTCCTTCCCACTAAATCTCAAAATGATATTTAATCATGATCAGAATGACCACTAAAGTTGGTCACAATAAAAGCTTAAAAGCTTATATAAATGAGTAAAATATAAATGAATTTTAAGCAAAGATTGATAGTGTCTAGCAGTGGAATCCAGCATGCGCGTTTCGTCCTATTTGGGACTCGTCATCTGGGTGTACCTGCATCTCAGAGTTGATATTCACTCTGGGACTTGCACCCAGTACCTTTCGCTTCAAACGCCATCGCGTCATCCACTCGGCTATTGAGTCCTGATAGCCACTTGCTTGTGCGATGGGATGAAGTTTAAATTCATTTAGTATTGTTTGTTCGAATCTTCCCATTGATGTGTTAGGACTACAACTGGTCAGTCTCTAATTGGCATATCCATCTCTGCTTATAATGCTTGTGAATTAAGGCTATATGGAGGCAATACGCACAGTATGCACATATGCCAATTAAAGACTGATCAGTTGCAGTCCTAACACATCGATGGGAAGATTCAAACAAACAATACTAAATGAATATAAATGAATTGAGTTTCAGAACACATCTATATATTCATAGATATATCTAAGTAACACGCTATATGTTTTCCTATTCATTCAAAAACTAACTAGCTAACGTGTGTTTTTTTAAATAATGAATAATAAATTAACGGAAATAACAACCACATTCATTATTATAATATACATTTTGAAGTAAACAGAGACAAAGATGACCTTTAACCATCATATCAATAAAATAATTAACGTATGACAGAATTCAAAACTTATTTTCATACCGATTCGTATAATAATAATAATAATAATAATAATAATAATAATAATAATAATAATAATAATAATAATAATAATAATGACAATAGTAATAATAAGAATAATAGTAACAATGCTAATAAACGTACTAAGTCCAAATGTTTCATCTATTATACAACTCAATAGACTGTATAAAAATTGAATCTGAACGAAGTACACGTTTATGTATGATGAAATAAGATTTTTCAAAAAAAAAATTCATCAAAACAAAACGTGTTTGTTACTAAGTTCTATTCAAAGAATCATGATGATGAAATTAATGAATCATTTAATTATGAATGAGTTATGAAAATATTAATAGGAATATTATGAATAGAATATATAGCAATTATATTTATTGATAAATGATTAACTAGATAGAAGATATGTCTGACATGTACATCATAGATAATGTTAACATAATTGTGTAACATCCAATATTAACTGATTACTATACATAAATATCTCATGTATTTCGGAAAATGTTACTATGAAAAGAACCCCAAATGCCCTGGTACGGCCGAGAGTGGGGAGGGGTCACCCTCCCTCTCGAAATGCTCTCATATGGCCAGCGAATATATAGCCTCTGCCAGGGAAGTCCTACTCACTGCCTTCTCGTGGCAGGGGTGTTGTTCACGAAAGTGAGAGGACGAAAAGCGAATGTCCGGAGCTTTACCCTGTTGGTGGACACGGAAGTTCACCTAGGGGAGTTGGGAAACCCTGATTCCAAACCAATGGTGCACATGGGCTCCAGTATCCTAAGGGAACAATTAGCGTATGAATTAATCAATCGTTGGTTACCGGCTACCATGGGACTGCATCTCCTTACGATGCTCCACTGCCTCGTGAGTCAGATCTTTAGGTCAAAGGTTCCAAGTGTGGCTCCCTAAGGAAACCACCTGTTTTGGTTTGGGCACCCGGACAGTATCACAGCCCTCACACAAATCAAATGAGATTTGTGTGGCACATGTGCATCTGGTGCCCCTTTGTACCAATATTTATGTGTTTAAATAAATAAATAAACTAAAATTTGATACTCAAAAAAAAATATAGATATTTGAAAACAGAATAACTACTGTTTTTTTTATATTTTAGTAAATAGTCTATTTATGTGCAAAATATTTGACAATCTTAATAACTGTAATTGAAGACTGAATTAACTATTTACCTAAATGAATTCAAAAAAATATCCTATGATCTATACATTGTTATTACTCAATTTCGCTATAGTCTGTGGTGATGAACTTAAAACATGAACTGGTCGATGAAAGTCCTCTTCCTTCTTTTCTCTGACATTCAAATTTATAGATCTACGTTTGTAATTCAGAATGTCTTTAGTAAAGGGAAATCTTGATGCTGAAAACTGAGTGGACTGTATGGGATATTCATAATCCCACTCTATTATCTTGAACATCTTAGTTCGCTTACTGAAGTCTTGTTCAGCAGAACAATTAACCAGTGTGGTTTGTGCTACTGATTTCGACAGACATAAGTAGTAGGTATCATCAGTCGGAATTGAAATGCCTGGAGGCAGAAGATCAAAGAAGAGAACGAGAACAAAGAACGATCGGTATGGAAACGAGAGAACAATGAAGTCTGAGACGGTTGACTGATATTTGCAAAAGGAACAGTCAAATTCGAAACAACTGATTGACATTTTGCAAGTAAAGTGTTCACTGTATGGGTCTGATTCCACAATTTTGTATTCATGTACATTCGGTTGTCCCTAATTGAGTTCTCTTTCACTACACCAGTACTTACCATAAAATGCCTCAAAATTACTCGTCCATAGTATTCTGAACATAATTCATATCATTTAGCTTATAGGTTTTTATGTAGACACGAAAATATTAGCTTACAGACAAGAGAATATACAAGTTAAGTGTCTGTCATTTAGATAAACATGTAATTTTATCCATAGTTCAAAGACATTGTAGTACTTCCTCTCTTGAGGACTGGATAGAAGTCATTAGTCACTATATTTTTAATGATAGATACATCAGCAATTATTGCTGTATTTGATCGCTTCTAGTGTTTTTATTACTATAAACAAAAGAGAAAAAGTGGCAAAACCAGTATTTATGAGTAGCTTTTTTAACTCAGCATCATATAAATAGCAACAAACTATTGTCTTTGAGATCTATTCATCTAATTTATGTCAGTAGATCAATAACTACTATCACTCACTCATCATTAAAAGGCCGCCGCCATGTAATACGGAAATGAATCATATACTATAACTATAGAATCTAATCTTATTCTGTAAAAATGTTTAGCATTATCATTTCGGCTGTATTTTGTAGTGCAATATATGCTTTTAAATTAGTTAATCTTTGATGAAACCTGAGTAATATAAAACATTGTAATTAAATGTCAATAGCTGGATTGTCCTTGAGTTTTTTCAAGGCGAGACTAACTTCAGATAAAATAAAAGGTTAATACAAATCACACCATTAGTGGATTTGCTAAGTCAACATTACAAAATTATCGTGCACGTATTATTTTACAAGTGTCAAAAATTATTGTTCCACAGTTAGCAAAACAAAAGTTTACTTGATGGCTTAGGAAAAACCTGTAGTTCGACTTTATCTAAATCACAATATAGCTGGGGTCGGGAAGTTGCAGTTACGCACACACCAAATTATGAAGTCAAAGAGGATACGATTGGTTCCTATGATTTCGTACCCTTTTACATGAATATTTCTCGAATCGTATTAGTAGTGTTCATCCGGTCAAAACTCAATTAGGTATTTTCTCAGTAAATTGCACCATAGCAGCCTTCCAACCACTAAAGATCTTTAATCAAGTGCTTTGGATTAATACACACATTAAGATTAATGTGAATTAGAAGTGCATTAAACAGAGAAGTCACGAAACTACTTATTTCTTAATCATTAAGATACTGTTAATAATGTCTTAATTAAAAACCACTAAGGAAGCCTACAAAGTTCTGGTAATATTTAGAAATGTTTACACCAAGTCACAGAACGTGGAATCCTAGTTTCCTGAGAGACATAGTAACAAATCTTGAATTGCTCATTGTCTATTACATATGCCTATCACTGACTAACTAGCCTTTTCATTAATGATTCCTGGCATCGTTTTTTTGTACAGCATCCTAAAGTAAATTATTTTAAACAAGGAATTCCTTTCATGACATTGATTTTACGTAAGTGGAGATTTCGGTAATTAAAAGACAGAGGCAATACTTCTCATTTTAGAACCCTGATTGTGCATTGTAATCTAATCATATAAGCTATTATAGTTTGACCTCGTCAGTCAGCTAGAACTTACATGGATAAACAATGCGACGGGAATCCAACAAAACTCCATAATCCTAGTTCAACGTAATTATTAGCATGGAAATGATTACCACTGGCGAAGGAACATCAAAGGTCAATATACAGTACAATATCCTCGATTACCACTGAACAAGATTGTCGGATTGTAAATGATTTATGGCTGTCCTACATAATATTCAGTGCTGAATACCATAGCACTTCCAGAGGGGAAATTCCGTGCGAATAATCCTGTTCAAGAAACATCTTTGCAATGCAATAATGGATGACGTGGGTTCCAGTCTCCAATAAAGCATGAATATTGTAAACTTGTTACGTAGATTTTATTGGGAAATTCATACAACAGAGGTCTAATTGAAATAGGACCCCTTCGAATATATTTTCTACAGCAACTAAATATGTAATCTACACAACAATCTCAACTAAGCAATGACGACTAAACACTACAAAATGGCAAAGGCGCTGTTAAAAGCATCGACTATTTTAATAATAAACTTATATTATTATAAGTAAAGAAATCAAATCAATAGATGCGAAAAATAATATCAATCAAAATTATGCAGAGTAAGAAAACTATTATCAACCGAGTTCATGGAAAAAGAAATCTATTATATTATGATATTAAAAATAGTAATAATAGCGATGATTTAAAAAAAAATTATTTATTTATTTATGAACTGTTCACACTTGTATTGGATTCATCTTTATCACCAGAAATCTAAAATGTAAAAATATGTAAAGAAATAACTTGTATGTATGAGGTGGGTTTATACTTACGAATGGATCCAGTGTATTAATGATCATGCAAGATACAGATATATTAACGAAGGCATAGACTACATTATACGTTTAAACTGGATAGTGTGACTGAAGTCTAAACATATCGGATCTAAGTTGTGACCTTATTACAGGATTATAAGACTAACACGACACATCGTCAGTTAGAACAACATATGTAAGCGAACAATTGTTTTCAATTAGATCGTCATCAGGCTTCACTCTAATATACGTATTATATTTCATTGTGATTATTGACTCAAATAGCCTTGATTGGTCTAACATTTTCGTATAAATATTCATGTATATTAGAGTAAAACCTGATGACGATCTAATTGAAAACAATTGTTCGCTTACATCGTCAGCTGACTAATGTGGTAAATTTGGCACGTTGTATTCCGCTTAAGTGGTCTAAGGATAAAGTACTCATTGTGAAACATAAAAGTCCTGGGTTCAACTACTACTAACGGGTCTGCAAGCGGTTTGAACTATTGAAGAGAGCTTCAGACTACGATGAAACAGCAGAACAATACTTTTTGGTTTCCTGTTATTGTTTAACTAATGTCTGTCGGTGATAATAATCAGGGCTGATAGAACATGACCGGCATTTATAAACACAGCAGTGTATAAGCTTTGATTATCATAAAATAATAAGAGCGTGTAAAAAGAATATTTCCCCACAAAGATGAAAATCAACAATCATATTCCAAAACAAAGAAAACTTTCACAACAACATTAAAAAAGTAAATGTTTGTAACTATTGTCAGACCACACATGAACGCTTGGGGAAACCAAATATAGGGTATTAAAATTAATAAGTGTAAGAATCACAGGTTTGAAACTGAGGGGAACTGCAGAGCTATTAAGCAACCACACCGTATGACACAATCTCCAATTAAAATGGCTAAATAATATTTAATCTGACATCTACATAAGATTGATTCCGATTGGTGACTCGCACTATTCATGGTTACCCATATGATTTCTGTATTTTAATCTTGCTGGATTTGACAGAATGCTCTTTTTAAGATAATGATCCCTTGTATCTGAACTAATACTAGCTGTCAAATGAGGGGGATTAATTTGAGAACTAATTATTGTTAGAATTCTGTAAAACATCTTTAATATTTCATAACCATCTGACTGCAAATATTAATGGATATTTGTCAATAAGCTACATATTGAAAAACGAAACTCTGCAGATTGAGACCAATCAAAAAAGATTCTAAGCTACTTTCTGGGGAGAAAACAATATAAGAGGGAGAAAAGCAGGAGGAGTGTCAATCTCAAAATGCATAAAAATTATTAGCAAAAAGCAAATGGGATTTCACATCAACGAAATTGACAAAAGTAGGTATTATTTATTATCACATAAAAGGGTACATTTTTAGATTTTTACACTAAAACACAGATGTATAAATGAATATACTTTCAATAAATTCTCTTCTGGATCTACAGTTATATATCCAAATTAATAGTTCAAAAAGTGTCTAGGTTTAGAGCAAGGTACATTTTAAATGATGTACTTTGCTTTAAACCTAGACACTTTTTGGACTATTAATTAGGATACATAAATGCAAAACCAGAGGAGAATTTACTGGAAAAAGATTCTTCATTCATATGTCTGTGTTTTAATATGATAGGAATTTCCAAGTGACTAAAATATTTACACATTTATTGGTCATTTACTTTAGAAGGTACTACATATTAGAACATCTTAGCCTACTTTTCTTACTAAAACAGAACACAAACCTCTGTGGTGTTTGTACTAAGTGCATTGTAAACACCTAAACGTACCATCCAAACTTCAATCTACAGTATAATGACACGAGCTCGTTGTACTTATTCAGTCATGGCTATTACAGTATATACTGATTTATAGTTTGCATGTTATGTCATACGTTATCAGTACTTTGAAATAACTTAACCTCCTTAAGAGGTTACCGACAAAATGGCTATACGCTGCTGTTACATCAACAGATCCAATATTATCGAACAGGACATTAAGTGTTAAGGTAGTCTGACGGCGAACATTCGGTGACCACTTGAACTTGTGAGAAAAAATGTGACAAAATGTATTTTCTTGATATTCCGTTAAACAGATCGTGAGTCGATAGCCAGGATCTTGTTCAAAAACAGCCCATCTGTGAGTCAATATACCAATTGTTTTAGTTTTCCATTCATTTGTTAAAAAAGAAACTTGATTAGATGCTTGACAACTAGTCAGTCAGCTACATATATGCATCAGTCCAAGTTGCCACACTTTATTAGCACAACAAAATGAACACCAGATCCATAGAAGTAGTTACTTTTATGGTATTAAAATATAAAAGAAAGATTGTGTATGAGACTACAATACAGGAAAAAGGAATTAGTCCGTAGAAAGAAAGGTATAAAGCGATTTTAATATCACGCTTTAAGGGAAGACAAAGAGTGTATACACCTATGCAATTGTGATCGATTCTGAGCCATGTCATTTAACCGTTGGTTACGATAGTCGCATGGACCCCAACCAAGTAATCTGCATTTAGCAACGTGGCCTTACAAAGTTTATAACTAGTTGTGTAATCTGCTTTATCATTACCATTGACTCAAAATTCATCTAGATTGGTTTTCGTTTTTCCATGTGCACATCTGAGTAGACGACAACGAGGATTCAACTTAAAACGATGTTATTCATTCACAGATTTCTCATACCAAATTTACTTCTACCGTTTTTAATCGTATTATGCTGATGTAAATCCCAACAACTCGAGTCAGGTCCGGTATTGGTTATTCTTAGATATATAATCCAACAAGCTCATTTATAATTAATGATACCCACCTATTTTGTTAGTATAAATAAAATCAGGCTGTTTTAGAAACTGAAAACGACGCGAATTTCAAAATCCCAGTGACGAGGGTTAAATGTTTGATTAAACATGGCTGAACTACAACTCCACATTACAACAAACATACACCACAATGAAATGAAAAACACTTCGGATTGAAAATAACTATATAAGGAGGAAAAAACATGTGTGCCAAACGAAGAGTTAAACAATTATGAGTTGATGTACTAAAACCTTAATATGGTCGAATTACTTGGGAAATAAGAACACTAAGTATAATGAAATAAAAATAAAATAAGTGATTCATACAATTGTTTTAAAATGATAAAGATAACAGTAACTAGAGAAAACTGTTTATTCAGTTTAGCATTAAGAGAATTTTAATATTTTGTTACTGACTAACGAGTGGATTGCAGTACACAGATTTTATCCCACTTATTATCTACCACAAAGTTATATTTGAATGAACTTTAGCCATTTAAACTACATGGCCCCAACTTCCCGAGTCAAATCCAGGCTTTTTCAGGAACGGACAGTGGACTTACTTACTGACACCTATTACCCTTCGAAGTGGAGCATAAGTTGCCGATCAGGATTCTTCAATTAACTTTGTTTCAGGAAATCCTTTCAAATTCCTACTCATTCTTTGAGATGGTGAACAATGACAGGTTAAAGGTCAACCATAACCAATCAAGATCGGAGTCTACAGGACAGGCTGTGAGACATATGTGGAGTGTTTGGTTGGTATATAAACCCAGAATGTTTGTGAGTAATGATTTATACCGCAGAGGCTGAGATTGGTGTTCTGAACTTAACTGGCTGGGCTAAGTAGAAAGCAGGACCAATAAGTACTCTAGACCGCTCGCACGGGTTTTATGAGTCATTGGTTCGGTCGATAAATTGGCGGTATTGTCATGTTATACATTAACAGAGCATCCAGGCCACAGGTTATAACAGTACCTAAAATTTATTGTTTCGCTGATCGTTAGTAGGGATTTCCGCCTCTAGATTTCTGAAGAATCTCGGCTTTCATTATGAGGCGTCATAATTCTTCTAAATGAAGATCTTTTAACTCCGAGGGCAGAGTTAAATTGTTTTTTTTTCGTTAGCGTCTTTTATCAAGGTTATTTTCTTTCAACAAGACTGTGGAGTGGGATGTTAAAGACACTTAATAACTAAGTACCGTTTTCCTTTCTCATTACAATACGCTCCCTAACATTTTTGAAGCTATCCGTTCAAAATTGAGCATTTTAATGATACATAAATGTATCCAGAATTCCTTGGTGAAGATTTGTTCTCAGGGTATCAGTATAGAGAGTAAATCTGACGTTTAACTGCGCCTCAAGAGTAGAAAATTTAGGAAGATTAATATGATTATATGTCTGGATGAGGGTCAATCAACAATATTTTTATTCTCCTCCAGATTCAGAGAAACAGACAGTGGTGCCAACACCAGCAAGTTTTTTAATAGTAGGGGCGAACATATGTTACTAGAAATTTTATTTAAAATAAAGTAGTCCTGCAAGGATTTCAAAAGTGTTTCCATCCGAGCTGATGATGAGTGGTGTCTACCAAGGATGTCTACTATCATCACCTGACTGGGAGGCCCCCAAATACCCTAGTGTGGCGGAGAGTGGGAAGGGTCAGCTCCCCTTCTCGAAATGCTCTCACATGGTCACGTGCATACAACCACTGCCGTCTCGCGTCGGTGTTGTTTACGGAATTGAGAAGACGAAAAGCGAATTTCCAGCGCTTTAACCGGGTTGGTGGATATGGAGGATCCACCTCGGGAAGTCGGAAAACCCTGATTCCAAACCATTGGTGCCCATGGGCTTCAGTACCCTGAGGGAACAAATGGCGTATGAACCAATTGTTGGTCACCAGTTACTATGGGACTGCATTTCACGACGTTGTTCTATTGCTTTGTGGATCAGACCTTTAGGTCGAAGGCTCCGGGAGTGGGTCCCTAAGAAAACCACATGCTTCGGTCTGAACACCCACGCATTATAACAACCAACACAAATCAAGTGACTTGTGTGGTGCATATGTATTCAGTGCCCCTTTGTACCAATATGTGTTCAAATAAATAATTATGAACCATAAACTTGAGACTGATAACACGCATAGCCAATAAAAGCTCAATAGATTTAATGTAATTTGATTCCATGAACCACTAATTTAGATTTGAATACACCATCTAACTAGAGCTCCATCGCAATGATAAATTCTTAACTCTTCAATTTTACCCATGCTGTGCCTTCTCACTTTAGCGAAGATATAAACCGGTCTTATATTGTGAGTTCATAAACGTCTCCACTTACGAGAGAGAACGACGGCTTCTCAGGGATTGGTTCGAGTTCGATTTCTGTAACTTGTTCTTGTACATCAAAACGTTCCTTCATATTTTCAAGGAGCGTCACTAGTCTTTTCAAATCCATCCAGTTTATTCCTTTTGACTGAAGTATAAAGTAGAGACAAAACCCAGTTTAAAAGCTAACCAAGTGAAAAAAGTAAACCATTTAAAACTTTCTTAACCTAACCAGTTCAGATCATAAACAAAAATATTTTCTCCGGAGATAATGAATTCGAATAAAAGTTCATGCGACCTGTATACATTCTTGAAAGCTAGCGATTTTCAGCAACCATCCATTACTATGACATAATCGTTCATAGTCAAGATACATTTTCTTTTCCTTGAGAAATAAATTTTGATAACTAACATGAGTTGATAAAACACAAACCCTTCTTATTTACGCTGAGATTAATTATGTTGTCCATAATGTCAACCACAAACACAAAAGGCTGCTGCTGCAAAAGGCTATAGGACATTATGGTCCATTCGTAGATCTTTCCGGTATCTGGATGGGGAAATGTTTAGATTATTATACCCAACTTTCGTACGGTCACATTTGGAATATGGGATTCAAGCAGCGAGTCCTTGTTTCAAATATGAGGCGGATATGTTGGAACGAGTCCAACGCCGCGGGACAAAAATGGTAAAAGGCTTATCTAGTCTATCTTATGAAGACAGACTGAGACACCTCAACTTATTTCCGTTATCTTACCGGCGAATACGGGGTGATCTAATATTGGTATATCGTATCCTGAACGATGACCTTGGTACTAACATGTCCTATCTTTTCCTCCCGCCTAGGGCTGAGCATTTGAGAGGACATCCAAAGAAAGTCCAAAAACCGAGATCAAATCGTCTACGTCTGGAGTTTCGTTTCTCGCACCGAGTAGTGAATTACTGGAATTCTCTACCAGAACACGTAATACCAGCACCTTCTGTCGATATATTCAAGACGAGATTGGACCTCCACAGTGTAACAAACTGCAAGGATTAAAATAGGTCACTAGACCTTCTATCCTTATTACTGAAGACTGAAATCATAGCTTAACCAAGCAAAAATTCTTGTCCTCTCGACATGTGACTGACTCCTGAACTTCTTTTTCGACGCGATACGTTACTTTCGTACTAATTATCAAATAAATCCTGTAATTCTATGTTAGTCCTAGCCGATAATTAGTCACTAATAGGATGATTTTATTTCAAATTAATTCCTTGATTCTTTCGAAATTATTAGGGAAATTGCATGAACCTAAAAAATTTTAACTAGGAAAGCCTAGTGAAACCGTGATGTATTGGAAGAAATTAGGATAAAACTACGCTAATACCTTAGAAAATTAATTTTATATTAAAACTCTAGAAGAATCAGTTCATGTTAGTCTTAGCGTCACTCATTCGCTTTGCTCAGAAAACTACCCCATCAAATCCCATTCGAACTTTAGAAACAAATTATTATAAAGCTGTTAATAAAGTCCTACTGATAGTTGACAGAAGCAATCAAACAAACAATCAATGGAAATGTATACTCTAAGTAGAATAGTTATGGCTTGGTTTAAGCTTATCAACATTTTATGATTGGTTTATCAATTTAAGACAGGATAGCTTTAGTTTTTTTAACCCCGAAGAACGGAATATGACTATTAATTGACATGATTAGCTACTAGTGTTTGTAACCGATGTGTGCAATTAATACACATATAAGCCTTACTTATCTGGGTGTTAGTATTCAGTAAGCTATACCTGAAACCCTAACAAACTTCACCCTATTATTTGGATCTATATATGAACCTAATACTAAGAATACGAACGTTACCAGTAAGCTAAGTGGAATCCAAATAAAACGAGATACTTTAGTTTGATCAGATTTAATGAAATACACTAAAATTTTATTTACTCAATACCACTGTATTTTCATTAGGTTTCTGAAGATGCATTTGTATCACTTTCAATTGAAAATAACTAATCTTTTCATCAAACCAGTGATAAGATTATCTTTGGGACTAAAAGTTGAATTTTAGAGATTTTAAAGCATGGGGAAGAAACAACGGGAAATATTTGCCAAAAGACTAACCTCTTTAATTTGGTCCTCAAGTTTTCGAACATTCTCGAGAATAACATTGATACAACGTGCGACTATAGGAAGACTTACAGCCTTAGCAGTAGAGTAAGCTAGTTCATACAAAGCAATAGCTTGTGAAAAGGTATTCTTAATGGTAGCCTTTGAAACTGTTTGATTTAGGTTACTTCCGTATGTAGCAAGAGTGGATAGAAGTGAATTAGCACGATCAACTGTCGAATGAATTAATGTAACAGCATGTATTGATGCCCTATGTTGTAGACGTACGAGTCGTTCTGTTGGTGTGGCATCACCTCCTACAGAAAACTTTGGGTCCTATGAAAGAAAAAATTGACAGTAGTTTAAATAAGTAGTCTCTAAAATGATACAAAACGTCTCGAGACAACTCAAATTTTGTTACAAAATGTAAGGGCTTACATCATCTTTCGGAAGATATAGATTAGCACAAGCTTCCGCAATATTTAGGGCGCAGCTGGCAGTGGGTAGAATAATACATTCATTTGAAGTGTTCTTAATCTGTGTGCACGCTGCTTCAGCACGATCCAACACATGTTGACAAGCTATATCATCGATCTTTTGGACAATTCCTGTAAAACACAAAATGATTTGCACTTAAACTATATATGCGAAGATATTACATTTTCAATGATAGCCAAGATATTTTGAACAACCCGAATGCAATAAATATTGCGAGTTGTAGTCGAAACGTACAGACATACTACGAAATCTTATTAAGTGATAAGCCCAGATAATTTGGTGTTAAAACCTTTTACAATTACAAGTAAAGATACCATGAATGTGTGCACCATACGATGAAAAAATATGATGATTGTGGGACATATAATTATACACAGAAGCCCTCTTTAAACACATCGATTGAAAGAATTAATGGTTCAAAAACCTCACTGTTACAACTAAACACTGACAGAAATCATTACTGACGTCATTATGTCGAGTATTACCAAGATTCATGTCTTACATAAGCAGTATACCTTGGAAAACCTTTATTTTACGAAACACCAATATTTAGGGCAGAAGTGAGGCGAAATACAACGCGTATATTAGCACAATATGAGAGAAATAATTTCTAATTCTAAAATTGAAACACGTTGATTCCATGTTATATAGTTGAGGATTTAAGGCAAAGTATGGACCGATCTATTTTTATACGCAATATACTATAAATACAACCTCACCGCTCTCAACGATTGGTTTAATCACAGAGATAGCTTTATTTTCAGCTGTTTGGATAATTGGGCCTACAGACTCTTTTTTCTTGACCCAGTTGTAAACATCTAATGCTGTCTTGTACGTATCTCCAACTACAGAATAGCCACATAATCGCGTTGCGAACGTAGTCATCACAACCAGCACTGCTAAACCGGAAATTTAAATGTTACTTACGACCCAAAGTAGACAACGCATTTATATATGCACACTTTTGTTCAATATGCAATACTCACATCTTTACGCTAAATAAAATAAGGGTGATTTTTCATTGCCATACTATGAGCAAAGAACGGCTAAAAATAAAATGTCATTTGACTGGTATACAGTGTCATGAAAACTGTTTCTTCCCAATAGAAACTATTGTGATATGTGTATTAGGTGACTTTTGTAACGACGAAATGAAAATCACATATTTCTTCCTATTTGTCACACTTTATATGTAACAACATTCATATTCAATTTCAGTTTCAGTTTCAGTTTCAGTTTGGAAAAGGCAGGAGGCTTGATGGCCTGTGTTAGTCCTGGCAATGATGGTCTCTCAGCTGATCCAACTTTCTTTTGAAGGAGTCGACGGATGGAGCCTCAACCACGTGCTGAGGTAATGAATTCCACTCGTTGATTATTCGATGGGAAAGTCGGTAGTCAGCTGACAAGTAATTCGTTATGGGCTTGTGAACTTTTTTGGAGTGTCCTCGTAGATTTTCTGTTTTGGAAGACAAGAAAAATGAGGGCATATCAAGTGCAAATTTGTCATTAAGCAATTTGAAAACTGTAGTCAAGTCACCTCTGATTCTTCTATATGACAGCGGGAATAGGTTTAGCTTGGTCAGTCTAGTACCATACGGGAGCTTCGCTATTCCGGGAATCAGCCTAGTTGCTGTTATCTGAACCCTTTCCAAGAGTTCACTGTCTTTTTTAGGCAGGGGCTAGCTGCTTGTATGCAGTACTCAAGTTTAGGGTGTACGAACACTGTATACAAAGTCAGAAACGTTATAGCGTCAAGATGCCTAAAAGCCCTTCGTATGGACCATAAAGTCCTAAAACCTTTGGCGGCTATTGCACGGCAGTGTGCAGTAGTCTTTAAGTCTTGACTGACGATGACGCCTAGGTCGTTGTGTGCCTGGACAATAGGTAACTCAGTGTTATTCATCATGTATGTATCTGTACCCTGGTGGCCAATATGCATCACAATACACTTGGAAGTGTTTATCGGCAATTGCCAGGTTTGGGACCATTCACATAATCTCTCCAAGTCATTTTGGAGTTCTAAGCTATCGCCTTTGCTTTGTATCGCTCTCCATATTTTGACATTGTCAGCATAGAGTAAGACCGATGACGATAGTAAACGAGGGAGGTCATTTACGTACAGGAGGAATAACACTGGCCCCAAAACTGTACCTTGGGGGACTCCACTAAGCACAGTTTCCCAGCTAGACAACTTGGAGTTCACCCTTACTCTTTGTTGACGCCCAACTAGGAAGTCTTTTATCCACATCAATAGATTGCCTCCAATCCCGACATTCCTTAGCTTATATAACAGCCGGTTATGCGGAACTTTGTCGAAAGCTTTGCTGAAATCGATGTAAGCTACGTCTATAGGTAATTTTTGGTCCTTAAGAGCGCACCAGCTTTCACGAACGACTAATAAGTTTGTGAGACAAGAGTAACCTGCTCTAAAACCATGCTGTTTTTTCGGAGAGGATCCGGTTTTCATCGAGATACTTTAACAGCTCCTTCCGAATAATCTTTTCTAAGATTTTAACAACCACACTAGTTAGGCTAATTGGTCGGTAATTCTCAGGCTTATGTTTTGTACCTGTTTTGAAGACTGGACTTACTATGGCGTTCTTCCAGTCTTTTGGTAGACGACCCTGGGTTACGGATAGATTAAAACATACACTTAAAGGTTTCGCAAGAAAGTTAGCTAATTCCTTTAGTAACCTAGGATGCAGTTCATCGGGTCCAGTGGATTTACCTATGTCAAGCTTAACTAGCAGACCAAAGACATCGAGTTCTTTAATGGTCACGCTGTCCAGTGCTTGTGTTGGGGGATTTTCATGGACTGATGAGAAGGGTGTTTCTATGGTGTTTACATCGCCAAAGTATTTAGAGAATACTTGAGCTTTGCCAAAGTCGTCCTCCACTAGTGACGAGGCAGTACTGTCTCCCCATAGTGAAGGGACATTTCTTCTTCTTTTTGTTCTTTGGTTTATATAGGAATACAAGCGTTTAGGGCATTCTATGGATTCCCTAACGATTTTCTCTTCGTACAGCTTTCTGGCCTTACGGAGGGTCGAGGCTTAGGTATTTCGAGCCTTTTGATACTGAGATTTCGCCTCGTCAGTCCCCAGTAACCTAAATCTGTCCCACATTTTCCTTCTTTTACGGAGAAGGATGCGAACCTCCCTACTGAACCACGGTGGGGAGTTTCTCGGTCTCTTACGTGTAGTCCAAGGGATGTGGGGGGCGGTAACTTTTAAGTATAAATTCCGGAATACGCCCCAAGCCGTTTCGATCGATGACTCTGGGTCTATTTTCCAATCTACTGATGATGCTGATTTCATGATGTCTTGTATGTTTGCTTTCCAGACGTAAGGTCCAAATTGAGCTGATGAGTGCTCGTGATCGACAGTTATGTGGAAGTCAAGTTTAACATTGCATGATCACTTTTGCCTAGGGGTGGCATGTAATCCAGGTTTGTAACGTCATCCTCATAATGAGTCAATATAAGATCTAGTAATAATAATAATAATATATTCTGAAAATAATATTTACAGAATTCATACCAGTTTACAGGCATGATCAGATTGTTACAAAAATCAACATTTAATATAGAGAACAAACATGAATTATAAGAAAGTTTTATTTTTGCTGGTTTACTAATTGATAAATAGTTTGAATATGGCATATGTCACGGCAAGCAAATGCAACACCCGGGAACTTGTCATTTTTTTATTAAGTGGATAGCCTGATGATTGATCAACATTGTTCTGTAAGGGTATTTCCAGTGCCAGAGCGAGTTATTATTAATTATCTACAACTAGAGAAAGTAAAATTAAAGTAAAGAGCACGGAACAACAAAACAATGATAACAAGTAAGTGGTTAAACATTTAAAGTTCCTGTAATCTCACTTGTGGAGTAAGATACACTTGCAGGCGCTAGAGCATTTAATGCATTTTCAGAGGAGCAAAAAGCATTAATTGAGCGAACAAACAATGGGAGAGAGTTTAACATACGGATAGTTTGGGGTAAATTATTCCAGAGTCTAGAAAACTTACAGGTAAAGTAATTAATATAGAGAGAAGATCTAGAATATGTTTGTTTCGCTAAAGACAAGGAGTTACGAATGTCGTAATGTGGAGCTTTAGCATATTGAATCGCCTGCCTGGATGTGAGGGAGAGTTTGTTAAGTATTTTGAAAAAGAAGTTAAGGTTAAGTTTGAGTCTCCTCTTCCATAAAGGGTCAAGCCCTAGTTTACTACACCTAGAATTATATGTCAAGACACTATCAGTTCCAAGAGTACGAAGTGTAAATCGTCTCTGTACTGATTCCAGTCTTAATTTATCCTTTATGCGCGTGCTACTAAAGAGAAACGCGCAGTATTCGAGGAGTGGTCGAACACAGACTTTGTACATTAGAATACGGGATTCGCTGTTATGAAGGTTTCGAGTTATGAAACCTATAAGGCGTTGAGACTTGGACGTTTGTTTCATTATCTGTTCAGTAAACGACAAGTCGTCGGAGTACCTAAGTCCTAGATCTACTACTGTGTGTAACCTAGATAACATTTCCCCATTTATGGTAAGATTGAGGTTGAGTGATGTATCACCGAAGCATAACCAACCACATTTAGCTGTAATGAGCTCCAGTTGCCATTTCGAGCACCACTGTGCTACCTTGTTTAGCTCCGTGCTGATACAATTTTGAATATTGCTCAGCTCATGTGGAGAAAATGAGTACACCACCTTAAGATCGTCTGCAAACAAAAGGGACTTACCCACACTAAAACACTAACAAATATCATTAATGAAAACTAAAAAGAGCAAAGGACCTAAGACACTACCCTGAATTACCCCACTTCTAACAGGGACTGCGTTCGACAATGAAGAGTTGATTTTAACTATTTGATGTCGATTGCTGAGGAAGGAATCAAACCAGGCTAGTAAGGATGATGCAGAACCCGGGTCGTACCTAGTTGCTTCCTTCACGTGTTACACTAGGGCACATGTGATTACCGCATCAACTAGTTCCTGTTCGAAGGAATTTGCTGACGATTCAGTCCGCAGATTTCCCCAGTCCACCATGGGTACATTGAAGTCCCCTAGGATTAGACATCGATCACTTCGTGATAAAGTGTTGAGACTGCTTAGCAGGACCTCGTTTACCCCACAGCTTGGACTGCGATAGATCAAACTAAGTAGCAACTCTTGTCCCCTGCATTTCAGGCGGCAGCAGACTAATTCATACGTCCCACTCTCATGGGATACACTGTCGATAATGGTGAATGGAATAGCATTCCTAATGAATAGAGCTACTCCCCCTCCTTTACGCGTTTGTGTTCTATCGGCCCTTACTAATGTAAAACCCTCGAAATCAAGTTCCCTACTATCTATAGACGGCGTCAGCCATGTTTCTGTGACTGCGATTATGTCTGGCCCAGTTGAGTCAATCTGTACACCTAGTTCCGGTAGCTTATTTAGTAAGCTCCGGGCGTTGGTATAACAGATCCGAAGCCTATTTAGGTGGCCTCGTGCTTCACCCAGAGTGGCTTCGGCATCATCCTCTGTCGAATCCTCACAACCCGAAAATTTACAATTTTCAGATTTTTTCCCCAGCATCTAATCTGAGCTGTAGTTCCTTTTCGGCTTCTCGTCTTTTAACACGGTCCGCCAACGGTAAGTCCTTACGGAGAAAAACTCCTGAACCCTTCAATTCGTGTCCATTTTATAAGATTAATTCGCGTTCGTTCGGGGATTTGAAGACGACTTTGAGTAGTCTAGACTGATTCGGCTTCAGATGCGCTAGGTTTCCTAGCCTATACACCTTTAGCAAGGTGACTCCGGAGATGTTTTTGGGCATAACTTGGTTGAGTAGTTGTTTTATCAACACAATGTCATGCTCAAAACGAGC